AACACTATCCCTTATCTTACCAAAATGCTTGTGTTAAGCAAGATTGACTATGCTTTGATAATTTATGGCAATAGCTGCAAATATAATATCAACATCCTTAAACCGGTCTATCACCAAGCCGTCAGAGCAAGTTGTTATGCTTTTAGGACGACGCCCATAAATAATATTAAAATGGAAACTGGTCTCCCAACTTTAGAAAGTAGACTTTATGAGTTAAAAGCCAAAGTAGTCCCGAAGCTTCTTAATTCAAACAAATCCATTCTCGGTGATGACGTAAGAAAGATTATTATCGCGAAGAAAATTCCAAAGTCACCATTTGCAATTGGCCATTGTTTGTGCATCGCAAAGGAATTGAACATTCCCTTAAAAATTCTCCGCTCTTTTGGTGTTAAACCTCCTTGGATTTTGAAAGACTGCTCTTTTGACATCTCACTGTCTATGCACAAGAAAGAAGATACTCCAAATTACTTCTTCAGGAATCTAATAGCTGAAAAAACCCAAGTATTGGACAGTACTGGTTGGAATCTTTTGTACACAGACGGCTCAAAATCTTCTGGTCTGCCTCCTGCTTGTGCGGTGGTAGATGCTACAGGACGGGTTCTTCTCAACCACATATTTCACGAAAGTACCTCAACTTTCATAACCGAAGCCACACCTATCCTTCACGCTGCCAACCTTGCCCATAAAAACAAACTCTAAACCGTCATTGTTACCAACAGTTTGTCTGTATTACAAGCTACTCGGAACCCTTCGACTTCGAGATGGAGCACCATCAACAAATTAAGGAATATAATTACTACACCCGACGGAAAACTTAAAATGTTACGGGTACCAAGTCACATCGGTTTACTGAGAAATGAGCAGGCTGATCGAGCGGCAAAGTATGCTGCTTCTGCTCCTCTAAATATGGATGATGTCATGGAAAAGTTGGATCTTCAAAGATACATTGGAAGAAAAGTCAAAGAGAAAATTGCGGAAGAAAATTTAAAATACCATCATCGACACTACTCTTGCATTAACCCTCAATTAACTCCACCTATATATCCAACAAATGTTGAGAAAACCAAGATCCAAACATTCTCGAGAATTCGCCTTGGTCATACAATTGCAACTCACCAATGGATCCTGAAGAAGTCTTCTTCCCCAATCTGCTGTTGTGGACAAACTCTTACTATAAAGCACATTCTCTACGACTGCCTCAACTTTTCCTTGGCTAGAAGTATTGCATTTGGAACGATTAACCCTTTGAACATTCTACAATCAGCTTCAGAACAGAATATCAATTCTATATATTACTTTTTTAATACTACTAAGCTCATTATCTAATGTACATTTACTTAAATTAGAGTCGATAGCCTTTGTTGCTAGTGCTCAATGTCTCTTTTTTTAGTCTAAGAGTTCAATTCATTAGTCTAAAATTAAAATAATAATAATAAAGAATAATATTTCTATTATATGCATAAATACATTCAACGAGAGTGAAGGTACCAATACCTGTTCCCAGAAAAACGAACAAGAGTTTGCTTCGTCACAAGTTCGTATATGATCGTTGTCGGATACCTACAAGTTGGTTGCAGGAAAATGTCAGGGAATCGTCAATTCTTTCCCTAAAGAAGTCATGTAACGTAAGTCCTAGAAATAACTAGATAAAAGACAAATCGATCATGGCAGAGATCTGACAAAGTTTCTCCCGTCCGTCACAGATGAATGTCATTTTAGCAAACGAGAGATTTACGTTCACTATGCAAAGAAACTATACGGCTGTCATTTTCCGCTAAGTGCGAGCGAAGCAAATCCAGCAAAATTATTTTGTTCGTAAAAGAACACCGTGTTTCCACAGAATAACAATCTTGCATACTTGCCAATAAGAGACGAAAAGACAAATCTTAAGTTCGCTTGGACAGAAAAAATTGTCGCCACCGCGAAGCAAATTCTGGGCAAAAACCTCCTGATCACGATGGCTCCGAACCTACAGAACCTACAATGTTTATAAATATATTGAATACGTGTTTAAGAAAAAAAAATATTCCCGAGCAAGAGGAAACGTCAAGCGCTCGTTCCGCCCTATAAGTTGACGAAATCGCCACAAGAACTATTAGCTTATCGCTCTATTTGACTATTGGACAAGTTTAACAATTGTTAATTCGCAATGACATGAAATAAGGGCTTCAGAACTTTAACTGCCGGTCAAATTACCACCTTGGATTCAATAGAATGAGAAGTTTAATCAAAATATTGTCGCCACTTTAATAGGTATACAAAGAAACCGTTGAAGGTGAGGAAACGAAATATGTTGCCTAGTAATAATACTGGATATCAAAACTGCCTTCAAGCAAGAGGGGAAAGAATACCTTACTAATATCTTGACTAACTTCTTTATTAACAGAAAATTTGGTTATGAAACAGAAACAGCGTGCGGAGGAAGAATGCTTCGTGGAAGAACATTTCAGAGCTCTAGGCTCCTCCCAGATAGAATCTCAAACGTGACCGCTGCTGACAGTGTAGCAGTAATAAACATAGCAAAGAAATTACAAGAAATCAGTGCTTTAACAAATATAAAATCGTTAACAGAAAACGGGCTGCGTGTTAATGGTCTCAAGGAAGAAGCGCAAGTGGCCATAAAACACCTGGGAATAACGGTTGGCTGTAAAATAGCATATACACGTAGACTGTGATACAGCTGTAGGAAATCTGTAGAGCTAAAACTACTGACGTCACCATTTAACATGGCAGGCTCTAGATAAAGCCTCAAAACTTGAGTGTATATATATATATATCCTGCAAATTGCATCCATAAACCCTAGGTAGAAAATAAGTAGGTTAGTGAGGCTAAAAATCACATTTTAATTTCCTTTGTTTTACAAAAAAATTATATGTTTTCTACTGTCTGACTTATGTCAATCCACTAGACTTGTTAAGTTAAGGAAAAAAACACCTGTTAGGATATATATTAATTGAAGTGATTTCTTATTTTCTGCTCATAGTTGGTTTATAATTATCTTAGTCAGCAATCGTGGAAACGAACACGATATACTATTTCATCATCTAATGAAATATTTTTACAAGGTTCCTTCCGTGGGAACTCCTGTATACCTGTGTCGCTACTGTCTCTTTTTACCAAGAATTTTATGTAGGGCCAACGATCGGGACAGTTATGTTTCGTTTTACAGTATGTTTAAAGATTTGTAAATATATATATGTTTAAGTATTCACAGTATTTGTGTATGTGTAGGTGTGTGTGTCTGTGTGTGTAGGTTTTAATATGTATTGTTAAATATGTATTTTATTTAAAATGGAGGTAAGTTGCTGTAACAGCTAAGCAAGGACCTAAATTTCACTTAGTGAACGAATAGCAAGATTGATGGAATAGGTTCATAAAAGCTAAACGGACGTATCGTTTCATACTAAATCTTAAGCCATAGTTCAACACATTTTAATAGCCTTGTGAAGTTGTCTACAAAGCTTAATTAAGTACCTAAAACTATACGTAATATAAATATTATAAGAAAATTGCATGGTGTATGTACATTGAACGCCAGTTTTTGAATGTTAAATTTTTTCATTGGCTTAGAAAATCTCTTAAATGGTTAAGAATGCAATAAAAAAATAGTTGTTGGCATGGAAGAATTTCACATCGCGAAAAATTTTTAATTTTGGATCATAAGTATAGGACAGTAAAGAGACCTAGGGAATTTTAAATACAATTTTCGAAAATATCCAAAAAATAGGCAGAATAGTGAAAGTAATTTTCATTTTTTTCATTCGAACTTTTTACAGTATTTCTAAAACAACATGGTCCACAGAAGAGCATAGGATATTTTCGTTAAACTAATCTACAAATTTTTTATTCATAAAAAATGCCTTCTTTCGGTCGAAAGTTTAAATTTTTCTTTCAAACGCATGGAAATCGCACAAGAATCCAGGTTTTTAAAAACTCCTACGTCATTCTGCCTGCCGCAGAGTTCTTTGATATCTGCATACAATAGCTGTGGCCAGTTCTATGAACTCTTCACCTGCGTGGGCCAGTCGTTCCGTTTCTAGGAGTTGTATGACTATATTCCAATCCAATATTCCAATGCATTTCTACAAAAATATATGTGTGCGCCTGTGGTTGTTGTTTCACAGTTATATTTACGTCCTTTTTTGCTGTTTTAAATTATTGTGGTTGCTTTTTTTATAATCTAACTGTGTAACCTAATAATTTTTATATGTGGGTTTCATTTCTTAGCACTAAATGTAGGCTGACGAATACCTGCAATTATACAAGAACATTGAGACTATTTAATTTTCTAACGTACCTTCATAATTAATACGTCCATCTCGATCTAAGTCCGCTATAGCTAACAGTTGGTTTAGTTGTTGCTCATTCAGTGGCTCACCAATCATTTCCATGGCGGTCTGTATTTCATCTCTGCTGATAAAACCATTGTCGTAACGATCGAATACGCTGCAAATGAAATATAAAATTACACTTATCAGCTGCTCTAGTAGACAAGAGCTTTGATTTTACTCTCTTCTGTTAACAATTAATGCAATCAAAGCGTGCAAATAAGATAAAAAGTCCCGAACTAAGCAGGAAAGCCGCACCTTTCATTACAATTATCTCGGACCCTTTATGACTCGGGCAAAATAGGGAGAATTTGGATGGGAAATTTGGGCACGATGAATGCATCGTCCGAACTTTGCTCTTCACCGACTAGCCTTCATTTCCTCGTCTGCAAAACTGCAGAAACGATGGAAAAAGTTGAGCTTAAAAAAGACCTGGCGAAAATTACTTGGTTTAGTTGTTTGTGCAGTGATGCCAAACATTTCACAGTGACGGCAGAAAGGTTTTACCCAACAAGAACAAAAATTGATCGATCAAAGTGGTACTCACTTGGTTTGATAATTTAAATATAAAAATATGTGTTTGCTTTACTATATATGTATACATACCGAAATGCGGCAATTAAGTCCTCTGTGACATCGTCAACGCCGTCGGATTTGCTAGTGTTTTTATCTTTCGCTTGTTGTGTTTTTTGTTGCGGCTGCTGTCCATCACGTAACGCTTGTATACGTCCGACCCATTGAAGGAATTCAACTTCATTTATTACGCCATTACCTGAAAATGATACTTGTAAACAAAATACAACGCGTTATGCAATCTTTTTTCTTGCAAACAATTTACGTAAAAAACGTCAAGCAGAATCAGATTGCAAAAATTGAGATAGAAAATCGAAATTCCACTGCTATATTCCTAGCACGATTTTGCACAGGAAGCTTAAAAACAGAATCTGATCGACACAGAAACACTCCAACAATAGGAGAAGCAAAAAAAAAAAAATTAATTGCAGATATGGATCTAAATTTTAGTTTTATGCCAAACTCTGAAGTGCTATGGGAATTAATCATTCGAAAGAAGTTCTAATCAACCAGTAACCCGTGTAAAACTGGGCAAAATGCGTCAGAATTTTTATAATTTTATCGCTTGGTAACTCGAAAAAGAGCATAGTTGGTTACTTTTGAATATTATAAAACCAAAATATCCATATTTTTGGATGACAAGCTCAAACGAATAAATATATGTATATCAAATTTTTGCAAACTCGAAAATCAGCAAAAATATGAAAATTTTTGAACTCCAAAAGAAAGGTGGCCGCGTTACCTGCAATCTCAATTCTACAGATAACTATCCGAATAGTTAACTGTGCTTTGGTTTCTAACTCGATCACCATAAATGTTAAGTCTATTATAGTACAGCTGCGTGATTGAACCTGACGGCATCGCTCTATGTATTCTTAAATCAAGGGTCGTTTACTCCACAGGATAAACGTAAATGTACATAGCTCTTGCAGAATTTCAGGGGCATTATTAAATTAAGCGGTTTATCAAAACTGTTTGAACGAATCGAGTAGTTTTTGTGATTCAAAAATCTATTCCTCCGCATCAACATACGTCTCTAGAAGGAGATGAATTGTAACGAATCTTTTAGAATATGTCTAGTAAAACTTTTGACCGTATTATTCATATGTCATATTGGCAAGAGTAAGTTGCCGTATTCACAGAAGGATGTAAAACTTTTGCGTTAATCATAAGTTATCGATTTTTAAGTTGCAGCCGTTGTGTTTCCCTTAATACTTATTGAAACGCAAAAACTCTAATCTTAGGTTACTTAGAGTTATTTTCAATTCGTTACCCCTGAAGAATTTTTCGCGATGTTACATAATCCCCATATTCACGTTGTAGCCACTTACAACCAGTGCTATTTCTTCTGTACATCAATAACCCTCCGCCGGTGGTTAAGTCAGTCCATATCCTAATGCGCATGGATGATGTTAAACTGTTCTTTTCCCTTACCTCGAAAACGCGCTTTTATCTCCTTTAATTCGACATAACTGATTTTAAAAAATTGGGCACAGGGTGCTCATATAATTTTATCCTCATAAATCTATAAAAATGCAAGAAATTTCAATTCTCTAAAAGAATAATTGTTATCGCTTACCAAACATTTAAATGTTTGCATCATTTTACTGTTTCACTTTTAGCTTGCATCTATGGTGGGTAGGAGTGTCTCGCTATGCTAAAAGAGGTTATATGCGTCCTTTTTTGTTTTTTCATTTCATTTTATTTATTTATTTGTTTATTAAGTAACTATAAAGTCATAAGCCTATTAACTAGTTATATAGATAAATTTCATGTGCTAAAAGAAACTACACCTATATAAGTGAGTATACAAGTTTTACTAGATGGTTGCAAATGTAACCAGCTTGTTCCATAAATCCCGCAATCATCAACTCTTAACAGAAATAAAATATACATTATGAGTTTAGCAGTACTACCAATTTTCCTCTAAGTGTATTCAAATAATCATCGAAGGATTCCAGACTCAGTGATGTCGCATTCCAGTAAAAGATCGTTAGAAAAATGATGAGTTAGAAAAACGCGATATTAACATGAAACATTAACACGATCTAGAGAACTGCATTCGTTCTATTAAAAGCCTTGTGGATCGAGATTGAATGACGTTGCAGAGCTAGATGTGTAACCTAAATTTTAGATAATTAATTAATAGAAAAGAGAATGCTAAGAAAGCATGAAGGAAGGAGCAATAGTGCTGTGGTGGTTATAAACAAAGTGTGTTATACAGTACTCTGAATCCTATCTAAGTTTTACTTTGGACATCCAGAATAGACTTCAATATAAAATTTAATATGCGTCATGAGGAGCAAATGTGCAGTGGTATGCTTAACCAGTACTGATAGGCATAATTTAGATTGCACAGTTTTCGGAGCGTAAGGCAGACAAAAACAGAGACATTGTCAATGTGGGGGCCAAAGTTGACTTTGCGATCAAAGGTTATTGCAAGACTTTGCTTTGAATCTACAAGATAAATAGAATATCCAAATATTTTTAAATTGACGGTAAATAACTCACCAACAAGACAATTGAAGAATATGGCTTAAGTCTTACTAGAGTTAATGGAACGCATATTATTTATCATCCTGGTGTTAACAATTGCTAAAGACACGTTAACATTGTTTTTAAACGAATGTAAATTGTTTGCATTATATCGAAACCAACCAAATCCCCAAGGCCATTTACGAAGAGATTAAGCAATAGGGGGCCAAAGTAAGAATCTTACGGTACAGCTGATCTAGTCTCAGCCAAGGAAAGTTCGAATCACTCACACAAACGAACGGTTTATGATCCGAAATATACGACTGCGTAAGCGTACAAGCACTTCGAGAATAACTGACTCTGTCAAATGTCTTTGTTAGATTCACAACGGCAAGAGCATACCTCATGCCAACATTAATGTTATCCCTAATGGACTCCCTGAAGGAAATTTAAAGTTTCGACGTGCAACGTCCAGCTGAACAGGGCAACATGCGGGATATTACTGTTACTCAAAAATGCGTCAATTTGTTCTTTCATGATATGCTTCGTAACTTCGGAGTGACAGGGTAGGATGCCAATCGGTCGGTGATTATTATGTGAAAAACAGGAGATCTGTTCAGGAATGGATTTGAGCTATTTTCCATTTCTTGAGAAATTTGGTAATTTCTATCTCTAAAATTATTGAAATATGGTGGTTAATTGATTTTGTACAAAAAACTCATTAATAGCGTCTACATCTCCCTCATTATGTTCACCACTACTGCCTCTCGATGTACCTTTACTGCGGATAGATATAACATCTTGCGCAGTATACTAGTTGAAATATATTGAACTAAAATTAACTTTTAAGACAACCCGTGATTTTAATCACGTGCACCGGCAGATTAACAAGTTGAGCCAGAAAGCCTGATATTATAATTTCAAGAAAATCGATGCTGCATTATCTCCAAAGGTTGCTCTTTTTTACTAGCTCTACCTCCATCATTTTCATGGCTGCTCATGAGGTTAATGCGTAAGTTAAACTTCTCCTTGAGTTTGTGGTTCACACATTCTTGATCTTTTCGTCAGCAATATCACAGAACACTTGAAAACTGAAGCTGTTGAGACAGGAATGCCTCCCGCTAATATTTTCAACAATCGGAGAAAGCATCAATTTTCCAATTACCATGCATACTTCTCGTTTGAAATCTTGCTACAATAGGCACAGGAGGCAGTTCGTAAGCAACAGGCATACTCGAATACAGCCAACTAAGGCTCCACAGATCACCGCAACACGAGCAAACAAAATAAGAAAGGTATGCACAGGTGATATGACAGGTTATCAAGCTACTAACCCCCTCCAAGACAAGAGGGAAGAAACTGCAGTTTACACAGAGCGATAAAGTAATTTTTTAAAAAATCAATGAACTTTGAGTGAATCACAATATAAATAAATATAACGCTAGAAAACTCCAGTTCCTTAAAAAAGGTTAAAACAGCGGAGCAAAAATTTCTTATTTGCACATAACAAGGTTGTCAGTCCTTTTCTTTCTATTTCCTTGTTTGTTTATTCATAATTATACAAGAATTCGATAATTTCGTCGTTTCTCTGTTATGGGCTAGATCACTTGTGGCGTAGTTTATATAAAGTTCCTTCGAATGTAACAATTGGAAGAACTTTAGATAGGCTCACCCTTTATTACACTTTATTCAGAAACACTCTATTTTTGATTCGGTGTGAATTTTTCTGTCCCTCTTGCCATCTATCCATTTGCTCCTCTATAAACCCGATGCCTGTCCATGTAATCTTGTGTTCTACAGGTGTCAATTTTTGAGATATTTTGATGGAATTTAGTACACTGACGTGGTTTCAACTAAGTACGAACGTTATTCAAAATGGATTGGATCTGAAAACATTTTCGACCACTCCTCTAATAACGCATTATTTATGGAGAATATGACAATTTTCAAAATTTGTCGACAAAAACCGTTGAGTATTTCGATATTCCAAATTTCTGTGAAAATTTTGCATCGGATTTGGCAATTTTTTAAATACCCTCTCATGTAAGCGTTTTTACGTAAAACCGACTTTTTGTATGGCCAAAAGTTTTAACTTTCAATACTTAATGGTCGAAACGATTGGTCTATAACATTAATTTGATATAGGAATCAACTTTACCGAATGTGAACCAATTAGTTCCTTTTGTTAAGTCCCAGCGCCAATAGGGATTCTCATAATGTGTAAACCCTTATATATCAAAAGGCCGTATTTGTTAACGTTTTGTAATGAAAACAATTCCAATTTGGCATAAAAATGAAGTTGGCCAAATTTGAACTACATGGATCTATTTCAATCGGTATGGAATTTGAATTGATAGGTCTATTTTGCAATAAATATATGAAATGCAAGCAAAAGTATTATTCAAACTACCCTTTTTCCTTTCAATTTGAGACTTTTTCTCTCCTGCAACAAAAAAACTATCATATGTTTATAATTTATCTCCGTTTAGTGTGATATCATCCTGTTTGTGTTGTACGAGGTACGGGACTAACAACGATTCGATAAAAGTTAGGTCTTCTGCCAAAACAAAAAGAGTGTTAACGGAAATGTAATGACGGTTTCTCCAATAATAATGAATTCGGTTACAGAATTACACAGTTTTTAACCGTTTCTATCGTGACTTCGCAACACGTAGAGTGTGAAACGAGAAAAGTTCAGACAGGGTCGGCTTTTAAATATCCGACATCACTTCACTT